TGCACTAAGAATAATAGTACTATGTTATGAATTTGTTTTGTTCATTTTAATAATGATAAGAATAGTATTTATTTATTACCTGCCTCTCCACATGGATCAAGGTGGGGAACAACAACAATTAACAGACATATCACATCTGTTAAAACACTTCAGGTAAAATACACATCAATTTTAAAAGGACAAGATATAGACATATTTAAACACTCCACATTTAAAACTCATTCAAAATCCACAATTGTAAGTCATCTTATTTAGGGTTTCTAAATCTGAAGCCCTACAGAAATCCCAGAAGTGTGTTGTGGAATAAAATCAAGCACAAAATCTTGTGCAGGATTTACTTGTTCAATCAAATGCAGCAGTTTGTTCCAACATTGTGTACAAAATAAATGAGAGAAAGCGGCTTATAAATATTGTTCAGAAAGCAGGGGCTGGTGTCTGAATGGCTGCACTTGTGGGGTTCACCCAAAGGCTCTCCAGTGTGTTGCTTTTATATCTGTCATATTTGTAGCATTCCTATAAATATTTGTTGTACAGATACATTTAGACTGAACAATGTACAATGTTCTGAATGCTATATACTCCTTTCTATGCTATATACTCCTTTGTATAAAAGAAATTCAACCTATTTACCCATTAGCTATTCCAATGTTATATGAAATTCTGGTTTCTTAAGAGTTACTCATAGACATAAGGCTACGCCTGTTTCTGTGAAGTTATGTCAAAAATGCCCCTCCTCCCTATAGTGTCTAGATTCCTAATATGAAATGTTTGTCTGTGCAGGCAAGGGTTTCTGGGTTTTTTTTTAACATTCTGAAATGGTAGACATTTGTAATACTAGAAAGTCACTGAATTGCACTATTCATACTATTGTTTTTCCTTGACATTGTTTTGTGATACCTTCATCTACAGGTTTTTTTTTTTTAGAGTGCTGTGTTTATTAATGATTAGAAAAAAATAGTACTTGCATAATGTTAAATGAATGTAACAGATTATTTACTAAATAAATAGGAAGGCCTGGCTCTGAAGCTTAATCCTATAAACTTTTTCAGTGACTCTTTGGGAGATGGAGGTCTTGTGACTTATCAGACTTGATAAGTTAGACTGAAACTATATCTCATTGATTTTTGTGAGTGTTCACCTTACAGTTGCAGGCCTTAGTAATGATTGCTCGGTATTTATATAATGGAAGGTATACACAGTTACAGTTTGCCCTCTTTAAAGTCTAGTGGTGGGATCATCAGTATGCTTAAGGTTATATAACTAAATTACTTGAAAATAATACAGCAAATAATAAATAAATAAATAAATAAATAAATAAATAAAGTTTATTTATGCCTGGCCTCTCTGTCAAACAGTTGGGGCGGCATACAACAGTTAACAGTATATATGGCATAGGGCAGTGATGTTGAACTTTTTAGAGACTGAGTGCCCAAACTTAACAGTGTTACCCGGTGCCGGGACTTCTGAGGGACCGGGAATTCCACCTTCCAGCGGGCGAGACCTCCTCTTCCTCCCTGCCCAGGCCCCCAGCTGCCTCTCTGGAGACAACTAAAGGCCCAGGATGGTGGGGAAAAGGAGGAATAGGCGTGTGCCTGTTCCTCTTCTTTCCCCTGCTCACAGGCGTTCAGCTGTCTCTGACGAAGCAATTGAAGGCACAGGAGGGCGAAGGGAAGTGGAGGAACAGGCATGTGCCTGTTCCTCCTCTTCCCCACCCTCCTGTGCCTTTAACTGTCTCTGGAGAGGCAGTTGAAGTGACAGAAGGGTGAGAGAACAGGAGAAACAAGAGCGTGCCTGTTCCTCTTCTCCTGCCCTCCTGTCTCTCCACGTGCCTCCAAAATGGCTTCGCGTGCCAGAGATGGCACACATGCCATAGGTTCACCTACACAGGCATTGGGTTTCAAAGGCTAGAGCTTGCTTCTTCAGATCTTATGAAATAGGCTTTATTGTCAGAAAACTGTTTTGGTGCAACAGCCTAACACTTCTACCCTAAAGGGATTTATCCAGAAAATAACTGTTTTATCCAGGAAATAGATGTTGATAGTGTATGTGCTATTTTTTCCTACTCTTTTGCTTATGAGCTGATTTTTTAGTGTCATAACAAGATTAATAATTGCAGAAGAGCCAGATGTAACCTACTGCTGTGTAGTAATTATTTAATTTTTCTTCTAAAGTTAAAACTAGATTTTAAAAGAACATTAAGCTCAGCATAGTAACATTTAGGACTTATTTAATTTAAAAGCAGGATACTCTTTTGATCACTAAATAATTAAGAATAAAAGTTACTTTCATAGAGTTTGTAATCTCTACTCTTTATAGTTTTTTTTTCCACAGCTTTGGATAGTAGAGTTCTTAGAATCAGGAACATTTTCATCACCTCGAGATAACTTTCTTTAATATGGAATTACCATTATAATGCAAGGTCACAAAATATGGGGTTACTGACAGACACTACTGTTGTTATCATGAAGTTGTTCCCAGTTTTAGATTGGCCTTAGTGGAACCATTAGGGTTTCCAGAGTGAAAACTGGAAAGAGCTTCTGTACCTTTACTGATGGAGTGGAAGAAAGAATTTCAGCAGCTCTTCCTTGCTTCATGACTAGCAGTATCTACCACAATTCCCTCTTCTACATAACAAAAGTATAGGGTCTGTTTTCAGTTTTCAGTCTGGCAATCCTAGTCACCATATCAAAGGATTTTCTTGGCATCATATTCTTCCAAGGTTGAAGAGAATGTGACTTACCCAAGATAAATTGGTGGGTTTCCATGGCCAAAAGTCAGTCAGCTCAAGTTCCTACACCATGCTGGTACACATCTGGCGGGCATACAAGTGCAAATATTTAGGCTCTTGTTGACAGTTGCTTTAACTGAGCTTAAGTCATTGCAAGACAACCTTACTATAAATCACATTCTTTCACTATTTTAGTTCAAATAAACATGTGGCTATCAGCCTCCTATACAGAGCCTTGCTGTAAGAAGCTTTTACAAATTTGGCAGTAGAATCTCTTGATAGTACAGATCTGGATAATGCTCTTGTTGCTTTCTCGTTCATAACTAGAAAGCACATATGTGCATACAAAATTTAAAGTTGCCTTTGAATTCCTTGGGACATATACTCAAAACAGAACTATTTTGAGAAGTTCCTATGTAATAAGATCTTCAACATGTTTTTGACTTTATATAATCTTGTGGTTTCACCAGAATGCATATGAGTTCATGTAAATTAATTTGCTGTATGTGCAACTTATTTAATTGTATTAATCAGAGTACTGTAAATTTATCTTCCGTAAGAAAGAAGAAACTATTTCTGCCACAATCAAAACAGAATGCAAAAAGGAATATAGAAGATGTAATGGATGAACATATTTTAAAACATATTAATCAGTTTGATCTTCAGAACTGTTTTCCTACCTCCTGTGTACCTTTCCATTTCCTGGAAAACCACCTTTGAGAATCAGGCAACACTTGTTGATGGCATGGGATACCAGTGTTAAAGACATTCTCACCCTAGGGGCATCATTAGTTGGAAACAACTTAAAGGCATAAAACAATAACAGTTCTTTTCCAGCAAGCAGTACTACATCTGCCACTCACTACATCCTGGGCCTGCTTAAAAGAAACACATTCTACTGATTTCTGTTAAATGTCTGAGTTAAGGGTGTATCAGCACTGCAGAAATAAAGCAGTATGACACCACATTAACTACCATGATGCTATCCTACAGAATCCTAGGATTTGTAGTTTGGTTAGGCACCAGATCTTTTGACAGACCATGCTAAATACCACACCGAAATACAAATCCCAGGATTCCACAGGATGGGGCCATGACATAAATGTGTAGGGCTGCCTTATGGATCTGAATTTCTGAGACGCTGTGGCAATACAGCTTTGTATTGTAGCCAACAACCCATCCTTGTGCTAAAACAAGTAAACATGGCTTCACTATTGTCATCTCATTAGCAATATCTGACGTCGACAGATGCAGCCTATTTTTTTTCACAAATAGGTCACTTGCCATCAAAATGGATATTGATATTGTGGGGTTAGACTGGCAACAACTTATGTTTAAGCCAATGCAGAACTGCCTCAGCCCAATTCTTTTTTTAAAAAAATATTTTTATTATATATTTTAAAACCAAATATTAGACAAAACAAACTACAATAATACATGTTACGATAATACATAAACACCAAACATAATAACAACACACATCTTAGACATTCAAAAAAGAACAAAGGAAAAACAAACAAGCAAACAAACAAAAAAACCCCCCAAAACAAATAATTATTACTACACAAATTTTAAAAGACTTCCTCATATCACCATTTTTGCGTTTATAAATACCATGATTGCGTTTATAAATACTAAATGTTTCCTCTAGCAATACTAATTAACATTACTATAATATGTTGCCAATAGTTATACAATGTCTGTTATCTTCTCTTTCCAAATATATATATAAACCTTACTCTATACATACCACCAATTTTCTATTTCTAAATGACTTCATCGTGAAAAAGTATAAACAATAAAAAAGGCATGAAGTGCAAAACTTTCCTAGTAATAAATTCTATATTCAGTTAGCTTCTATTTTTCCAATAACTATTATATGCCTCAGCCCAATTCTTATATAACTTGTGAAAATGGGATTGTAGACAGAGTGAAACAGGGTAGGTTCCCATTTGCCTTGGTAGGATTCCATTGTGTTGTGCTGGCACTGCTGCAGCAGTTCCTACCTTATAAGCCATATATAAAACCATCTTGGTTATTGAATTGTACTGACATTAGGGGTACCAAAATGGACATTTGATACCTGAGAACTGGAATGGCATAATTTGACACTTTGTTATTGTGAGCCTTCAGGTCATTTCTGACTTACGGTGACCTTAAGGTGAACCTATCATGGAGTTTTCTTGACAAGATTTGTACAGAGGAGGTTTGCCATTTCATTCCCCTGAGGCTGAGAGCATGTGACTTGCCAAGGTCATCCAGTGGGTTTCATGGCCTACATGGGGAATCAAACTTTGATCTCCGGAGTCATAGTCCAATACTCAAACCACTGTGCCACACTGGCTCAATTTGACACCTTCATTTTAAAAATGCTGTGTTTAAAAACTCTCCTATGTATTGTGCATTTGTTTTAACTGGATTCACTCATGTATTGCATTGTTACCTCTCATTATAAAACGTAATATTAATGCGAATATAATTTAGTGTATGTTTGTGTGTATTTTATCAGCTAAAGCAAAGAAAGCTTCCTGGAATTTGGCAGTGCCATGACTTTCCAACATCACCATAAAAAACATTCACTGGCTTCACTTTTAAAAACAGATAGTTGGATGTACATTAAAACTTCATAGTTTCATCTATAAATACCTTATTTTCCTGCGTATAAGACTACTTTTTAACCTGCA